GGGAAAAGAGAAATAAGAATATTCAAGACTGTGTTGTTGACAAATACAGCTGAAACCTGCTTTGATTCTGAGATGTTCTGGAGAGATTTCTTAACAGTCAGCGCCACTGGAAGGCTTTCACATTACAAATAAATTCATTGCATTTGGTAGTTGAGCAGTTTAATGGCTGAACTTACACTCATTCTTTGTTAACTTGAATTTTACCACCTACTGAACTTGCCATATTTTTTGGTTGTCACAGCTGAACTTTCAAAAGTATATACTTTCTTCTTTAATTGTTTGCCCCAGGGTTTTGGTTACATAAAAGGGAGATTTTCTTATAAAAATATTTTTTGCTTTCATATCCTGTCATTACTCATTCACAAAAAAATATTATCAATTGAGATACGGAGGTTAAAATATTTGAGGATGTTAATAGTAATAATGTCAAACACTCACCACGGCCCAGGTATTGCTCTTAGTGCTTTAAATGGAGTGTCCTGTTTGATTCACACAACAGTCTGTGAGGGAGGTAGGCATTCTTTCTCCTAGAAGAAAAAAACGTAAGTGTAAACAAGTTGAGCCACTTGCCTACATTATATAGCTGCTGCAGATCATGGCCTAGATTGGGATTCAGGCCATCTAGCTCCAGAACTCACACTCATAATCACTACAGCTGTGGTGAGTATCATTTAGAACTAAATTTCTGTTCTATCTGAAATTCAGAGGTTTATCTGCCTGTGAGTCTTAGCATCCTTTTTGAGTAGATTGGTTCTTTAACATCCTATCTCCTACTTCCACATTTTTTTTTTCCTTCCACTCCTCATGTGCTGCTTGGTGGATTGCACTCTAATTCCCTTTTACTTCCTTTTGGGGGGGGGCAATTCATTACTGCTTCATGAGCCAGTGCACAATGGATGCATTTCATTACAGCCCCTCTCCTAATCAACTGTGTTGATGCTGAGATAACAAGTACCGAAACCAAGTACATGCCTATATTTATTTTTCTTGTCACCCAAAGAATAAAACTATGTAATTCTAGGTAAAAATGAGAAAATAAGTTATGCACTTATTTCTTGTAATTCTTGTGTACTTAGCATAAACATAGAGGCTGTGTTAAGGACAACATTTATATCATCAGGCAAGTGGAGATTTTGGATGTTTGGCCAATCAATTAGATTTCAAGACAAAATAGAACAAACAAATACACAAAAAATAAACTCACAAGCTAGAAGATCTGTACTACTCTTATAAATTAATGTTTGCTTTAAATTTTATACTATAGCTACTGTTATAGAAAAAGTTATTTTGAAATGCACTTCTTTCAGTAAATTAGTAGAAGAACTGCAGTTGTTTTTGCTTTTTAAATTATAATGATATAATATTAACTATGGAACTACTAAGGATTATACTTTTCATATTAGAGTAAAAATTGTCCCATAGAGGACTGACTTTATATCCCACAGATGCTTTTTCCTTAAGAAAACTCATACATTTCTATGCATCATCCTTCTCCCCAAAGGATATTTCCTTCTCAATTTCATCCCATTAAGACTTATATTTATATACAATGGGATATTATGCAACCGTCAGAAAGGATGAATACCCAATTTTTGTATCAACATGGACGGCACTGGAGGAGATTATGCTGAGTGGAATAAGTCAAGCAGAGTCAATTATTATATGGTTTCACTTACTTGTGGAGCATAAGGAGTAACATGGAGGACATTAGAGAAGGAAAGGAAAAATGAACTGGGGGAAATTGGAGGGAGAGATGAACCATGAGAGACTGTGGACTCTGAGAAACAAACAGGGTTTTGGAGGGGAGGAGGTGGGGGGATGAGTGGTGGTGGGTATTATGGAGGGCACTTATTACATGGAGCACTTGGTTGTGGTGCATAAATAATGAATCTTTGAACACTGAAAAAAATAAAATTAAGATGTTAAAAAATAAAAGACAATATTTAGTCCTTATTTAAAAACAAATTGAATTTTGATAAGGTAGCCACTTTGCTATTACTGCTCACATACTGCTTGAATGTGATCCATTTCTGGAATGTTTTGGCATGAAAGGAATTTGCAAACAGGAAACAGTTTGGGTGCAGGGTGAAAAGAGGAGTGAGGCCAATTTAAGGCTTGAGGAGAACTGAAAGGGAAGTACCCAGCACTAAAAGAAAGGTGGGCATTAAAGAGGGGATGTGATATGATGAGCACTGGGTGTTTTAGTCAACTAATGAATCACTGAATGTTATATCAAAAACTAATGATGTACTATACCTTGGCTAATTGAATTTAAATTAAAGGAAGGAAGGAAGGAAGAAAGAAAGAAAGAAAGAAAGAAAGAAAGAAAGAAAGAAAGAAAGAAAGAAAGTCATTACTAAATGCAACCTTCTTTCTATTCCCTATATTTGCCCCCAAGTCTGTTCATTTTGTTTGGGTGATATGTTTTAGAGTTTAGAGATCATGTGCAGGTGGGTAGTCTTTACTTCCCTTAGATGTGGCACCTCCACCACAATCCATGCATTATTTTTGCACCTCATTGCACCCCTAGTGTCTGATTCTCCATTGGTCAGTGTTTGTCTCTCCTCTATTACCCACTCTGCACAGTGGCCTTCTGGATCTTTCTATAAAGGCATCACAGTTGCCTTGAGGATCACAGCGGTTGCAACTGGACCCAGGCTAGTGGCTTGAAATGGTGACAGAGCTTTTGTATTAGCCTACCCAATATCATAGTCTTGGTTTTTCACGGTGTGGTTATGAGATATATATCCCTTTTCTTTCAGAGGCAATAAGTTCATATGGGACTAAATTTGCAGGGTTTCTTAAGCTCAGCATTACTAGGAAGAGACCAGCTTCATCTGGTAGTTTTTCCCAGGTGGGAATGGCTTCATACCACTCACATTGTCTCAATTTGAATTGGGTAGAGATAAGACTATTTGCCAGCTGGCAGTGGGAAAGCTCATTGATCCTTAGAAATTTGTGAAAAGGCAAGGTTACTATATCTAAGTGACTTTGTTCTAGGTTAGATTACCAGGGCCTCTTGCATGTGTATCCCGGGGGAAAGCCATCCCATATAGGTTGAGTACTTGGCTATGTAATCAAGAGCAAAGCTACCCTCAAAACAGACCTCCAAAACAGACCTCATTTGGTGACCTTTGTCTAGTTGTCTTCACACAGCAGCCTGGGATTTACAAAAATAGCTACATTAAATTGAACCATTTCCATGTGTTAGCTACCATCATTACAGCACTGTTGTTACATTCACTTTGCGGATGTAGGAAACTGAGGTAGGGGGTTGTTAAATGACTTGACCAAGGGAACACAGCTTGGCAATGGCAGAACTTAGCATATATTCCAGGGAGACTGGCTCTAAAGTTTATGCCCTTACTCCCTAGGGTTTGGGATAGAGTCCTTTAAACACAAGTGATGGAGTAAAAGACTATTCTCAGGCCAGAGTTGTACCTTAGGCCTTCATGCCTAAGTCTATAGAGAGACCTCTAGAATGCAGTTCTAATTCCTAGTAAACCTGAATTAAAAAGCTTTCCAGCAATGGCCTTTTACTTGGAGAGCAGTTTGGAAGGGGACTGGAGGGTCCAAAGGAGGCTGCTAAGTGGTAGTCAGGCTCATTTCTGAGATAGGACTGGAGATGGAGGTTTATTGTGAAACTTGGCTTCTTAATGGGCAGCATGGGACTCTCTTTGGCAGACTTATGCAATGGGCAGTCAGTCTACATCTTAAAAGGTTCTTTTGTATTGGCTGTTTGATTCTTGTGGGTTCTTGGCTGTCTTCCCTACTGTCCTTGAGCCCTCCCTGTCATGATCAGAGATCACTGCTTTAACTTTAGGCTAATGAGTGCATTGTAGATACTCATTTCTCTTTTTTATTTCTTCTATACTAAGGCATAAATATAGGAGCTGTGATAAGGACAACTCTTATATAATTTGGCAAATACATATTTGGATGTTTGATCATTCAGTTAGATTTAGGGTTCCTCCTGGTCTAGTTGGGAATCTAAATCTTCCCAAAGAGACAAGAACAGGGTCCCAGGAGGATGGTTTCTGAATGTGACTTTCACAATCCGACCTGAAGTGACCTCTCCGTCGTTGACCACGTGTTGTTTGTTTCTCTAGATTGTCAGTTATCTTTAAGACATTGTGTATTAGATGTTTTCACTTATGTCCCTTTTCCTAGACTACATTTTAAGTCCTTAAGGTAAAAACATATGTCTTATATAATATGTTCCATGCCAATAATAGATGATAATAAACATGTTTTGATGAGTTAAAATATGCTAGAGTCTCTTTGCAAAACTGACTTTTCTAATAGGACTATGGCACAAATTACCAAAAGTCCTTAGGCTGTTGGTTCATGTATTTCTGAGAATCCTACAGCTTTAAAGCTTATAGTAATTTTGAAGTAGAAAAATAATAATGATTTGCAAATTTTTTATTTTAAAAGTGTTTGGATTTTGGTGCTAAGAAATAATTACTTTGGTTTGATTTCTGTTTGAATTCAGTTTGCTTTACTCATGTTAGGTGGTCTTTTCCTTGTCAAAGTCAATGTTTTTATATAGTCTTTCAGTCATGTTTAGTGGTTTTTATCTACCGACATCGTCTCTCTCCCATCTTATATAAAAATAGAAGTGGTAGTTTTTCATGTTTTAATACATAACTTTTGGGGCGCCTGGGTGGCTCAGTGGGTTAAGCCTCTGCCTTCGGCTCAGGTCATGATCCCAGGGTCCTGGGATCAAGCTCCACATCGGGCTCTCTGCTCAGCAGGGAGCCTGCTCCCCCCACCCCCACCGCCTGCCTGCCTCTCTGCCTACTTGTGATCTCTGTCAAATAAATAAATAAAATCTTTAATAAATAAATAAATAAATAAATAGCTATTGGCCAGATGCTGAAGGTAATTTAAGTGAAGTGGCCTCATTGAATTCTGAGCCTCTGAGAAAGGGCTTGGATCTGTGTGTGGGTGTTCTCAGATACAGAGATGTAAACACCATTTTTCTGTTCCATTTTCAGGTCACATGTGCCAATTTAACGAATGGTGGAAAGTCAGAACTTCTAAAATCAGGAAGCAGCAAATCCACACTAAAGCACATATGGACAGAAAGCAGCAAAGACTTGTCTATCAGCCGACTCCTGTCACAGACTTTTCGTGGCAAAGAAAATGATACAGATTTAGACCTGCGATATGACACCCCAGAACCTTATTCTGAGCAAGACCTTTGGGACTGGCTGAGGAACTCCACAGACCTTCAAGAGCCTCGGCCCAGGGCCAAGCGAAGGCCCATTGTTAAGACGGGCAAGTTTAAGAAAATGTTTGGATGGGGTGATTTTCATTCCAACATCAAAACAGTGAAGCTAAACCTGTTGATAACTGGGAAAATTGTAGATCATGGCAATGGGACATTTAGTGTTTATTTCAGGCATAATTCCACTGGTCAAGGGAATGTGTCTGTCAGCTTGGTGCCCCCTACAAAAATAGTGGAATTCGACTTGGCACAACAAACCGTGATTGATGCCAAAGATTCCAAGTCCTTTAACTGTCGCATTGAGTATGAAAAGGTTGACAAGGCTACCAAGAACACACTCTGCAACTATGATCCTTCAAAAACCTGTTACCAGGAGCAGACCCAAAGTCATGTATCCTGGCTCTGCTCCAAGCCCTTTAAGGTGATCTGTATTTACATTTCCTTTTATAGTACAGATTATAAACTAGTACAGAAAGTGTGCCCCGACTACAACTACCACAGCGACACACCTTACTTCCCCTCCGGATGAGGATGAACATGGGTGAGACTGAAGCCTGAGGAATTAAAGGTCAATATGACAGGGCTGTTACCTCAAAGAAGAAGGTCACATCTGTTGCCTGGAATGTGTCTACACTGCTGCTCTCGTCAACTGGCTGCAAATATGCTAGTGGAAAACAATCTGATGTAATTTCTGCCCAGTCAGCTTCATCTCTTGGTATAGTTGTAAATCACCATAGATTTTAAAGGCACACTTGAAGACATGCTCTCCATACATAGATGTACACAAACACACATTCATATACATTTCAGCTTGCATCTGTCATGATTCCTGTCAAGAGGGCTTTCATTGTCTGACTCATAATGGTTTAGGATAAACTATCATCAAATGAAAGGATTAACTAGACAGTGAATGGTTTCTAACACTTGTGGTTATGGAAATCTCTTTTAAAGTCTTGAGTACATGCTCATCAGTAATCCCCATTCATGCATTCCTACTGCTTGGAGTAGCTGTACTGGTAAATACTACTGTAGGAGTATATGCTTGTTAAAATGGAAAAAATAAATGTGTCTTTAGAGCTCAGTATTCTTTCTTTTATGAACACAACAAAATGTAGTAACTTTTTTCCAGCATACAGTAGGCACATTCAAGGTTATGTAAGATGGCTCTTTTTTCTATGGAGGGAGGCTGTTTTCAGTAAAGATGAGCAAACATTTGGAATTTACATGTGGGCAGACATTGGATTACAGCTTTCATCACCAGTCATTGGACTTTCTCAAAGTTGAGACCAGCTAAGTCTGCTTAAAACAAGTTCTGATCATTATATAAGAAGGGAAATGCCTGACAGACACCATGTAAGTTATAAGTGTCTGTCTTATCTTTACTACACATATTGTAACAAATTCAATATCCTAGTCTTCATTTGTATGAATGGTTTGTATTGTACATAGTTTAACCAAGTGTTATTTGAGCTGCTTATTAATATTAACTTGTACTTGTCTCTGCTTGTTATTGGTTAAAAAGAAAAAAAAAGGATATGAGGAATCCATTTTATCAATGTAGCTGTGACCTCCATTAAAAAGACAAACTTAATGTACAAAGCATTTATTCAGCTCAAGTATTGTTGAAAGCTAAACATATACAACATTACAGTCTGTCTGTATTTAGATATTTTATTTCTGGACAAAATGAAATGTACATAAAAATAAAATGCTTAAAGTTGAGTTTCAATATGTGCTTGTGTAAGATGGTGATTTAAGTGGTTCTGACAAGAAGAATGTGCTGGAATACAGGAATGGTTTTGCATCTCATGTCTCTAAATTTGTACAGAACTATCAAAATTGCTATTAGTTGCTCAGTCAAAACAACTTACGAGTTTCAATCTCAAGCCTGGGAAGCAGTTGTGGCATATGGTGTCGCACACATTTTTGTTTTACTGTTGCGTTAGTGATTCAAGAATACCAAAAATCAATGAGCAGAAGAGATGACTGAGGTCTCCTAAATATTATAACTGTTCTTTTGTTTTTCCTGTGTAGAGTCTTTATTTAGCAGGGAGATGGAGAGGAAGATAATTTTTTTTGTGGCTGATTTTCTCTGATTCTACTGTAATCACTCAACAGAAAAAATTACAGTAGCTATGAAGGGCTTTGGTGTCCTATTTACCTATTACCAAATGGGATCAACTTATCTATATAGCATTGTTTATGGACAGTAAACTTTCTTTTAAAACATGATTACTGTATGTAATTCCAGCAAGATAAATAGAAGAAGAAATATGCAAGGTAAACCATTTTTAAAGTCATAAATGGGGGAATGAGATATGAAGAGTTTCAAAGTTAACCAAAGAAGCTAAATTAAAACACTAACCCATTCTCATTTTCCCTTCATGCTGCATAGGGATAAGTATGTTTTCATATAGAAAATAATGGAAGTACTATAGGAACACAAGACCACAGAGTTCTAAATTGATAACTCAGCAACTGATTAGACTAAAGAGAGCTTTCCATTGCAAATCAAAGACACATCATTCTGTTAAGTGTCCATCTCTCAAAATTCTCCAATATATCTAGACAACCATTTCTATTAATGTATTAATTAATTTGCTATGGAATTTAGAAGCAAATGTTGGAGCAGACTCTCTCTGGCACAACAGGCAATAAATGCTTCAAGAGTTCCAGCTGTGGGACATATTTGCTACAGATAAATCTTGTTATTCTGGGATTTATTTATCAAAATGATCACTTAGAAGTTAGTTGTGCTTAGCAAAAAGAATAAAGGAGGAGAGGAAAATCATTTAAAAATTTTTTTAGGATCCTTTCATTGGTGGACTATAATTTGCATTACGTGGTCTAATCTGAACTTTTTTATTTTTTATTTTAATATTTTTAAATTTTATTTAAGATTTTATTTATTTGACAGAGCACAAGCAAGGGGAGCAGCAGGCAGAGAGAGGACGAAGCAGGCTCCCCCCTGTGCAAGGAGCCCAACATGGGGCATGATCTCAGGACTCTGGGATCAAGACATGAGCTGAAGGCAGACACTTAATCCACTGAGCCACCCAGGCACCCCTAATCTGTCCTTTTTTAATTCAAAATTCAAGATGAACTAAAAATATACTTCAGTCTCCACCCATCTGCCCTGCTTTCTAACTTCCCATGAAATATTGCTTTTACATTTTTATAAACTTACAGACCATAGCTAACTAACATCCAATGAATTAAATTATTTTTCTGTAGTCTCTTTCTTTTCTTTTCTTTTCTTTTCTTTTCTTTTCTTTTCTTTTCTTT